CTGACTGACACTAATTTCTGTTTTTATTTCGAGATGCGAGCTACAAGACCAGAGAGTGGGATGGGGGGGGGATGGGAAGTAGAAACCACTTGATGAATAATATCAGAGTGGCTTGGTTTTCCTTTCACATCAAGATCTTTTTTTCAGGGATCGGGGAGATAATCTGAGGTTGCAGAGCATATGAAATTAATTTTGAGGTTAGAGAGATGGGATGAGGGCATGATTGAAAGGTGGCCAAATAACCATGAGTAAAAGATTATTTTCTAAGAGGAAAATCAAGATGGTTAAGGCACAGAATGCGTCGAAGCTTGGATAAAATGTTAAGGGTGACAAAAGCAGGTTGCTAAACTGTGGCTGGCTGGTTCAACGAAGGTTGTGAGTGGTGGTTGAGTAAGACCTGAACTCAGGTCAGATGGTCTTGAGCTTCACCTTGTGTCCTTGAGCAGTAAGTTACTTCTACCCACCCATTTTCTTATGTGTAAAATGGGATTAATGCGAGTATTATTTTAGAGTGTTTTGGGGAGAGATTGAATGAGATACCGCATATGATCTCTAAGCACAGTGTCTGGCTTGTTAGTATGTGCCGCTACTGTTGGATGATAATGATGTAATGTTGACAGATAACTAAGAGAAAACGGAATTACTCTTAATCCTTTTCCTTGCTTTGCCTTTACCTTTTGTATTAAAGAGAATATATTTGTTTTCCTTATGGAAGGAATAGCATAGACCATATAGAGATATAAAGAAGAAAACTGTGGAAAAGTAGTGACAACCCAAGTCATTTAAAATTGGGAGGGGCAGCTGTACAGTCTGGTCTTTTTTTTTTTTTTTAAGATTTATTTATTTATTTTAGAGAGTGTGCATGAGCAGGGGGAGGGGCAGAGGGAGAGAGAGAGAGAGAGAATCCTCAAACAGACTCCCCACTGAGCATGAAGCCCGTTGCAGGGCTCGATCTTAGGGCCCCGAGATCATGACCTGAGATGAAATCAAGAGCTGGATGCCCAACCGACTGAGCCACCCAGGTGCTTCCAACCTGGTCTTTTAAGATTCTTTCTAACTTGGAGATTATTAGAAGTTGAATTGAGGAGAGAAAATCCCTACTGAATAAGTACTCAGTAAATTATGTGTTGAACAAATGGACAAACCAAATGAGTTTAGGCTGTCTAGACAATGAACATTTTGTAGACTTTTCTGATGGTGAAGAATCTTAATTTATCTTACAACTTTTCCTTTATCCCCAACATTATAGATAACAAGTTGTCATCTGTTCTTAAGTCTAGGTTTTAGAAATATCCTTTATTCTAATAGTGGATTATTGACTAAATTGTTTAATATGAGTTCCAAAAATTGAATATAGAAGTGTATTATACTCTTGATTATTCTGTGACCAATATCAAAATGTTTTCTGATTTTTTTGGGGGGGGGTAATGTATTGCAATATATCTATGGTTTTTATCCAGCTATAAAATTGTGATGAGCAAAAGAAGTGCCAAACTTGGTCTCAAGCCCACACATGTTAGAAGCTGAGCTAAACAGTAGCTCTTTAACTGGAAATCAGTCTAGTCTATAAGTGGAGTTTAAAAAATACCATGGGATTTGGAAAGCAGTTCTCTTCTGCCCTGGTGATATACCTTTTTGTAGTAGACTATCATGGGACTGTTCTATCTCCCAAGAGAGTAGTCCTGAGACATTGTAAGAGATGGTGCTGATTTAAAGAGGGTGCCTTAGTTAAGATGGGAAGTCCCTAACCCTTTTTCTGAATAGCTATTTTCTTTGTGTCTGAAGGAAAGACAGATCAATTACTAGAGATGGAAGGCCTTATTCAAGAACAGAAAGGAGATGGTATAACTAGAGGCAAGAATTTATACTCTGAATCCTTTAAGTAATAGATGTAATCCCCAGTAACCTATGATTTTTCAGTTAGGCATTTTGACCTTAGGACATTGCATAAGGATTTTGGTTCAACCTAAAGTAGATAAACAGTTGAGAACCTTTTTATCATAGGTTTATGTCTCATTTAAGAAGTATTTAGTTGTGTACATAAAGTATTATTCCTGCATTAAAAAAAATCTAATGCCTTCTTCCTTGACCATTAGACTTGCTGACTTCTTTGATGTTAGAGAAATTGAGATTTCTATACCTGTAGAACAGTAACATTTTTGTCATGTATCAGGTAAATGTGCATCCTAAACTATCAGGTGCCATCTGGTTATCTGGTATGGCATGGTAGAAGGAATGATCAATCAAAGGGTAAGGCAGTGGTTTTCAAAATGTCCAGAATCCCGTGGACTCTCCATGACTTTCTCAGCAGTTCCACGAGGTCCTTATATATATCTGTGTGAGGCTGTATTTTCTTTTTTTTTTTTTTAAAGATTTTATTTATTTATTTGAGATAGAGAATGAGAGAGAGAGAGCATGAGAGGGGGGAGGGTCAGAGGGAGAAGCAGACTCCCTGCTGAGCAGGGAGCCCGATGCGGGACTCGATCCCGGGACTCCAGGATCATGACCTGAGCTGAAGGCAGTCGCTTAACCAACTGAGCCACCCAGGTGCCCGAGGCTGTATTTTCTATACGTACTTTAACCAGTGCAATATGGCGTGACAGACTTAGTGCAGAATCATGCATGAGAATCCAGTGGCTTTCTACTAAGCTAAACATATAGAGATTTACAAAAATGGGAAATAATGCCACTTTTCTTACTACCTTTTTTGGAGAAAATATTTTTTTTTTAATTTATAAAACATGGGGTAGTGTGTTTATTGTTGTTTTAAAACAAACGCAATATTAAAAAAGTTCTCCAGTTTTAATTTCTAGTAGAGGAAATATTGATAGATATGGCTCACAATGACAAGCTGCTTAGAGTCCTCAGTACTTTTTAAGACTATACAGTTATCCTGAGACCAAAAAGTGTGAAAACCACTGGAGTAAGGCATCCCTGAACTATTGATTTTTTTGCTACTCCCTTTTCCCACTACCAGTCCCTCTTTTTTTGCCAACTTATATCTGAAACTTCTTAGCCAAAAATACTTGAGAGCAGGATAGTTGAAAATTTACCTTTAAAAACAGTATTTTCTTTTTAGCGTATTTTAAAATTGGGAATAGATCCTTAGGGCTTCAAATTGGGACTTTAGCATGCTGATTTTTTTAAAATTAAAATATGACCAAGAGGGGCGCCTGAGTGGCTCAGTTGTTAAGCGTCTGCCTTAGCTTGGTTCGTGATCCCAGGGTCCTAGGATCTAGCCCCATGTCGGGCTCCCTGCTCAGCAGGGAGTCTGCTTCTCCCTCTCCCACTCTCGCTGTCTGTCAAATAAATAAATAAAATCTTAGAAAAAAAATATGACCAGGAGTTTTATTCCAGAACATTCTCCTTTCTACATTCTTTTTCCCCTTTCCTTCTGGAGGTACCATTTTTAATAGCTGAATTAACTGGTCTGCTTCTCCCTTTCCCTCTGCCCCTCCCCCCACTTGTGCTCTCTTATTCTCTCTCTCTCAAATAAATAAATAAAATCTTAAAAAAAAAGAAAAACCAAAAATGATAAAGATACAACAAACACAGTCCTTACTATCATGGACCTTAGAAGATCTGTGGTGGTAATCAAATAATCATCCAAATGATTATATAATTAAAAATCAAATTAAGTGTCAGTTATAAAGAAACATGGTTAAATAAGACCGCTAACAAAGTAACTTGAGATTTTCTGGAGGGTAGAAGAGCTTCCCAGGAAGGTTATATCTATATAGGAAGCAAAAAGATGAGTAGAAGGTACCAGAAAAAGGATGATAGTGTGTGAGTGAACATGCATGTTTGTGTGTGTTGGGGTACGTAGCACCCTGTGCTGGAGGGTAGCATTTAAGGAAAAAGGCACAGCTTCTCAGCTTCCACAGAAGTCCTGTGGCTAGGGGAAGCATGGTGTCCCGCGGATTGATGACTAGTCAAAGGTTTAATTTGTAAAAATTATTTCTTGTAATAAAGAATTTGTATAACCAAACTCATCATATTCCCAAAATTTTGCAGGAATTACTTAAATGGAAACGTTCTTTGTTGTAGTCCTTTGACTTAGAAGAAAAATTGAGCTTTTGCTAATGTAGTTTCAGGGCAGTATCAACCTTAAATTTATATCAGGTAACTATGTTCTCTCATTTGTATAGTTTGATATACTACAAACTTACATGATTTCTTGCTGTCTTGGTTGTATGTATCCTTTGTTAAATTTGAGGTTTGTGTAAGAATGCATTGCTTTGCCATAGATGAGGGATAAGTTGTAGGTATTTATTTTTTTGTTTAAGGATTTTATTTGTTTTATTTGACAGAGAGAGACACAGCGAGAGAGGGAACACAAGCAGGGGGAGTGGGAGAGGGAGAAGCAGGCTTCCTGCTGAGCAGGGAGCCGACACAGCTCGATCCCAGGACTCCCGGGATCATAACCTGAGCCGAAGGCAGATGCTCAGTGACTGAGCCGCCAGGCACCCCTGGTTTTTTGTTGTTGTTGTTGGTCCCCTCTTGGGCTGTGTGATAATGCTCCACTTTTAATTTCTTTTAAAGGAGAAGTAAGGTTCAAACACAGTAATTTGTCTTGAATTATTCAGTCACTTAATCTTTAACATCATGTTACAACAGTTTATTCATGCCTCTCAGTTTTTAAATTTAGTGCCAATTTTGCATTTCATAGGCTAAGATAAAATTCGAACTTAAAATTCTCCGAGAATGCTTAGTCTTATAGCTGAGAATTTTTCATGTCCCTATTGAGTTCTCTGTAAGAGGGTAGTCACCTTAGAGTGGCCACTAGTAGGAAGTAAATCTGATTAACTCCTTAAGATGATTTGTTTAGATCTGTGTAAAGGGTATATGTTTAAATTTAGCAAGAAATAAGGCGACATATGTGAGGGGGATTTGTAAGAAAGGCCTTGAATGGCAGTTTGAAGATAGTATGCTTAATTTAATTTGTCATCCTACAGTTAAAATTTTTTGTTTTACTTTTATCTCTTATTTTTCCTCCACAGTTGTACAATGGTAGATGGAGTGATGATTCTTCCTGTGCTGATGATGATTGCTTTCCCTTCCCCTAGTATGGAAGGTAAGTGGCTCACTGGGTATTGTTTGGCTCTCTGTAAACCAGTTTATTCTTAATACTATCATACTTAATACTCCTCCGTTCTCCCCCTTTGACAAGACTTTATTTTTTTAAAGTTATGTTTTCGGTTCACAGCAAAATTGAGAGGAAGGTATAGAGAGTTTTCATACCCCTAGCCCCCACACATGCAGAACCTCCTCCATTGCCAACATCCCCCACCAAAGTGGTACATTTGTTATGATTGATGGACCTACACTGACACATCATTATCACCCAAGTCCATAGTTTGCATCTCTTGGTGTTATGCATTCTGTCGGTTTGGACAGATGTATAATGACATGTATCCAACATTATAGTATCATACAGAGTATCTCATTGTCCTAAACATCCTCTGTGCTCCACCTGTTTATCCCTTCCCTCCATCCTCCTTGAAACTAGCAACCACTGATCTTTTTGCTGCCTCCATAGTTTTGTGTTTCCTAGAAAGATATAGTTGGAATCATGCATTATGTAGTCTTTTTGGATTGGCTTCTTTCATTTATTAATAGGCACTCAAGGTTTCTCCGTGTCTTTTCATGGGTCGATGGCTCATTTCTTTTAGCAAAAAAAATAGAAATATTTTAAATCTTTTTAATATTTTTAAAAATATTTTTAATTATGGATGTACCATAATTTATCTATTGACCTGAAGGGACATACCGGATGCTTCCAGGTTTTGGCAATTATGAATAAAGTTGCTGTAAACATCCATGCGCAGGTTGTGTGTGGACATGTTTTCAGCTCCTTTGGGTAAACAGTAAGGCTTGTGATTACTGGGTTTTATGGTAGAGTATGTTTAGTTTTTTAAGAAACCTCCATTGTCTTCCAAAGTGGCTGTACCATTTGCATTTCCACCAACAATGAATTAGAGTTCCTGTTGCTCCACATCCTCACCAGCATGTGCTGTTGTCAGTGTTCTGGGTGTTGGCCACTCTCATAGGTGTGTAGTGGTGTCTCCTTGTTGTTTTATTTTGCATTTTCCTGATGACATCTGATGCGGAACATCTTTTCATATGCTTATTTGCCATCTGTATATCTTCTTTGGTGAAGTGTGTCTGTTAAGATCTTTGGCCGATTTTTTAATCAGGTTGTTGCATTTGCTTATTTTTAAGTTTTAAGAGTTCTTTGTATATTTTGAAGAACAGTCCTTTATCACATGAGTCTTTTGCACATACTTTCTCCCGTTCTGTGACTTGCCTTTTCATTCTCTTTTGTTGTCTTTCACAGAGCAGAAGTTTTTAATTTTAATGAAGTCCAGCTTATTAATTATTTCTTTCATGAATTGTGCCTCTAAAAAGTTATTGCTGTCCCCAAGGTCATCTGGGTTTTCTCCTATGCTATCTAATATTATATGACATAATATTATGTAATGGGCTTTACATTAAATTTCTAGTGGACAGTGATGTTGTAACCAATTTAGGTATCCACAGTCTAGATTCTGCTCTACGCTGTATTGTTAAAAACATTTCAATAATGCTGCAGGTTTTTCATGCCAAGAAGATATAAAATAAGGATCCTATGCTAGGTAAGTTTAAAAGAATTGGAGGTGTTTAAACCAGAGGAGGGGTTGAGTCCTAAGTTGTAGGAATTAATAAGAATTTAATCGTTGGAAAAAATTGATGGGTTAATATTTCTCACCTGGGGGCTATTTTCCTCCCCAAGGAATACTTGACAATATCTGGAGACATAACAGGCAAGTTTCCAGGATTTTTTCTCCGCTGTGTAATTGCTAAACACTATGATAACTAGAAAAAAAAAACTACAGAATGTGGTGGAATAAAGTCCCTCCAAATTTCCTTCCCTTCCCTAGGTATAGTATCAGTTCTCTATGGTATGAAGCAGTTCCTTTTGGTTTCATTTGATATCATGGGTGGAACTGTGGTTGTGAGCATGACTGAAAAGAAAGAGAGTGGAAGACCAATTGAGGTGGAAATATGGTATGATTAGAGATGGAGAAGTCGAGAAAGAATGGAGAAGAGAGAAGGGGAAAAGGGCATTTATGAATCAGTATTAGCAACTGTGCCATTGGTTGTTTTTTCCTGCTTTTAGCTCTTAAGCTGCCCAAAGAATCCAGCAAATGACCCTCTAATGTCACAGCGAAGATAGGTAATGAAACAAGTCCGTCTGGCTGAAGTGGAAATGGATTGCCACTAAAGTTTTGCTATTTAATATACCACCACCACTAGGATGTTTACAAGGAAGGAAAAGGACACATCATCCTTTAGTTGGAATAGCTTTTTTTTTTCTCTTCAACCAGAATATCCAGTGAGTGCTACAGCCTAGAGTGCTCTAATCATAATAACAGTTGCCTTAGTCCTGTCTTCCCTCCATGACTCAACTCCTTGTTAACTGTCAACAGCATATTCTATGAAAAGACTCTTTGTTTTTGTATATTTACTAGGAATTAAAAAAACACACTGAGAACCCCTAATTGTAATGCACTCTAATATATTCAACATTAGTCATAAAGCAAATGTTAAGTACAAAATACTTCACCAAAAGAGGTAAATAATAGGGTAGTTAACTAAAATCTTTATACTAGCCCCATACATTGTCTAGTGCAGACCTTTAGACCCAAGTTTAAAAGGAAAAGACCCATGTTTGATGTTTGCAGAATAGCTGTGGCACCTTATTGATTGTGCTTCAGTGAAGCTAGATGGCATTACTGGGGCATAAATAAGAAAGCTATAGAGATTTAGTTCTAATATATTTTGTTGGGTAGTGTACTCTTTTTAGCTCACTGGGGAAAAAAGAAGAAAAAACAAGCAAAACTTCTTCCCCTTTGTCTCCCACATTATTCCCAAGTGTCTTCTTAAATATTGATTAGAAATAGTGTTAACACTTCAAATAATAGGTCCCAAACATTGATTTTGATAGGGTTTGGTTAGTATGAGTGTGCTTTAGAACATCTCTCAAGTTGTATGGAATCCTAAATACTCCAGGGGAAAAAAGACCAAATAAGTTTGGAAAATATTGCCTACTGTAAGTACCTCTGATGATTATAGGTAATATTTATTGAGTGGCTAATATGTGCCAAATGTTGAGCTGTTTTTTATGTTATTTCCCATAATCCTCATGATTACGCTCATGAGATAGGTTTTTGGGGGATGTGCCTTTGAATTGTTTAAAACTCTTGCTTAAGGCTACACAGCCAACAAAAGGTGTAATGTACTTTAAGGAATGGTGTTCAAGAGTTTCAGTCATTATCAGTCTTCTTCAGAATTTGACTTTTTTTTTTTTTTTGGTCCCTTAAATTAGCTACATCCACATTCACATTGTATCTGGTGCATGCTAGAATCCAGCTCAGTCCAGTGTGTTTGAGAGCTGAGATGAGAGCTTGTAATAGCAAATGATCAGGCTCCTTCACCTGGGTTTGTGTTTTTTTATTTCTCATCTCTCATACCAATATTCATTTCTCATGTTCATTATACGTACAACTCTAGCTGCAGGAAGAGTTTTATTTGCTCTTACCGAGAAGAGCACTTGAGTCCTAATTATCCATATATCCTTCCTTTCCCTTCCCATTAATAAAACTAATCATGCTCTAATACTACGATTATGCCACTGGGGAAAAGTCCATTTTTGTTCCAGAACCTCCATGTTTGGCTTTCCCTTTATCCCAGAGAGCATTTGCAGGTGACATCCATGACACAAATACTTAAAATGGAATATTGCTTCAGAAATATTTCTAAGCTAAGATGACCCACATTTTATCAAATTTGCGAGCCATAGTTTTGATTTTATTATAGCAACAAGGGCTGGACTTTTGCAGAGTTTTGTTGTGAGAGGTTTTGGCCTGTCCTAGAGAAGATTGCAAAGTTCTAAATTATTTTGTGGGCTGACTTGATTTTACTGTTTCCGAAGCCATTGCCACTCAGACTTTCCAGCCCAATTACCCAATGAAGGGGATAACGTCAATAGACTTTTTGTTAGGGTCCACAAAGGTGCCCCTCTTTGCCACTGTGGGAGAAGAATAGAATAAGCCTTTCTTTGAATTTCTCATTATTGAAGATTCAGGAAGTTCTTGAAGGGGTGAATGAATGTACAAGAAATGTCTGTATTAAGTTGGTTGCTCTCGTTTCTCATTACTATAATTTATCCCTTTTGTTCAGAATAAAATCTTTTTCACGGATACATCATCAAATGAGAGACTTTGGGGAGAGAGATGAGATATAGTGAGCTATTTGCCACTCACTCCTAGGACCTAAACTGTAAATATCTGATGGAGCGACATACTTTTAAGATACTGCTTCTTTGTTGTTAGATTTTCTTATCTAACAGAATCATGGTGTATTAGTTGATGAAAGGTGAACTATGACAAAGCTGCCTTTGAGCTTTTGCTTCTTGGGAAATGTTTGTTTCGGCTGTGGGTAGTTAAACTAAAGCCACATCCAATATTCAGTGTATTTATATGAGAGGAGAGTAGTAGCAGTAGGGTGTGGAGAAGACTCTAAAAATTCAATCTAAGTCAAATATTGAACAGATGTGAAAACAAATCCAAGATCCAAGCTCGTTAAATGATTTCCTTGTGGTCAACAGTGAGAGGGCAGTGCTGTAGCTTCTGGGCTTCTCTTTTATGAAGACAGGTCTCAAGAATGAGAAGATGAATGCCATTGCCTCTTTATGGAAAAGCTAGTGAAGCAGGAGATTTGTAGGTGTGTCACATATGTGACTTTTGCTCTCAGAAAGAAACACTAAGGAAAACAAGACACAATAAAGAATTACTTTGTAACTCCCTGAACACTATTACCCGGCGTCCTCGGAACTTCCTTCTGCAGCCCAGCATGACCTCAGGCCAGCTTCCACAGATAATGATTATATGGCGCAGTCATAATTACTCAGAACTCATGTCAATTCTAGGATCCTGTAAGACACAGGGTGGAGTGACTTCCAAACTTTTCACTGTGACTCACAGTAAGAAACATTTTACAGTTGGACCCAGTGCATCTACATTTAGAAACATT